ATTATGATTTCCTACCACGTAGTAACGGCTACATCCATCAATTTAACAAATATAAATTATATTGATGAAATGTGCTATTCTCTAGAAATGGTATATGTGCTGATAGGAAGATGTAAGTAAATATAGATAGACATACGTATCTACCATTTTTTATTTTTGCTCTCCTCTATTTTTTCTCTATTATTGTTACCCTTTTCACTATTGAATCACCTTACCTAATCTTTGTCATTTTCCCAATGTCTTAAGCGTTGTTCTTTTCTTGATAAATTTGATTTATTTGAGTCATATATATTATCTAAGGGAAATGAATACTTCTATTATTATTATAAAATAGTGAATTGACTTACTTGATTAATAATTTTTGTTGAAAAATTAGCTCCCAAAATTACCGTGTCAAATCGGCAGGCAACCAGAGCTAAAGTTCGTAAATTATGAAGAAAAATCCAATCTCTAAAATGAGAGTCAATTTTACAATAACTTCATCGATGAGAAAACACTTCACTGTTAGGAATCACACGTTAAAAGGTAATACCTCGTTAGTCCTTAGCTCGCACAAGTTTCTCAACTTCTGAGAGTTGTCCTTCGTATGGGGGCGACAGTTGATTACCGGAAAAACAGATTTTAAACAGATTTTTTTTAAACCACTTTTAATAAAGGCTTATGAAAAATTCAGCTTTCTGCAATTTTATTAGCATTAAAGTCTAGTCGTTCTGATTATAGTCTTTAATCAACTCTCACTTTACATTCTGACTTACGAAAACAAATAATTAGATCGACACTTCTGATAAATAACTGAATTATGTGGAGTATCGGAGAGAAAAAACATAAAAATTCAGTGTTTGAAGACGATTGACAATGTTTCATGATGAATTTTCGGACTTCCATTGTCTAATATATAAAAATGATTTGAAATCCCTGAAACAACTGAAAAAGAAGAATTAAAAATGAATAGCTGAAAATAACAATTATATTAAGCAAAAAAATAAATGTCTCCAAGCACTTGTATGACAAATATTCATTTCGGAGGGAATTTGACATGTAGATTTCCCTGGGTTCAGGTTTAACTGCAAATTATTAATTTTTATTGAAAAGGACACAATGTCTAGCATACCTCATACATAACTACTTGAACAAGAAGTCGGCTAAGATTTCTGCCTTAGTGCGGCAAGTCGGCATGATTTTAAGATCCGAGAGTAGAGAGGGCATCATTCCACCAAGGACTCCGATAATCAGAACTACCAACTTGACAGAGTGATCTGGATAGAGTCTGCGGAGTTCGAAGGAAAAATCTCGATATTTTATCGTTTTTTCTCCTCTTTTCTGACGAACAAATAGTTCCAATAAATTCAGCACTTCTCGTTCCCCACAACGGATTCAATATCCCCCGGAGCGAAGGGCAACACCGGTGTCTCGTCAATGCCGTAAGAGTGCCGTAGATGGTAATATAGCACTCTTAGGGCCGCGTTATGTCGATGGATATAGGCCGAGACCGCATATGCTGNGTTGCGCAGTTCATTGAGCTCAGGCTGTCGAAGCTCTCTGTTGAAAGCTTCGAACTTATTATTATTATTATTATTATTATTGGAATTTCATTTAATATCATTATTTTTGCCGAAGGGTATGCATTGATATTAACCAATGACCACTCCCCACATCGTGAGGTAAGTGATCATTGGTTCCGAGGATAATGTGCCCTGAGCAGAGGCAATGAGCCAAGAATGATAGCCTTCTGCATTTGTTCAGCTATAATTCCTGCCTCAGAGCGGCAAGGCGGCATGATCTTAAGATTCGAGAGTAGAGAATGCATCATTCCACTACGGACTCCAATAATCAGAACAACCATCTTAACAGAGTGGGATAAATAGAGTTCGAAGAGAAAATAAGGATGGGAAATGAATAGTTCCAGTCAACTCGGCGTTTCTCATACCTACAACAATTCAATATCCTCCGGAGCGTAGGGCAACATGGGTGTCTCGTCAATACCGTGAAAGTGATGTAGATGGTAATAAAGCAGTCTTGGGGCCGCATTATGTCGATGAATATAGGCTGAGACCGCATATGCTGGATAAGCTGATATCAAGTGAATTAGGATCTTAGGCGCCACGCGACAGATCCTGCAGGAACCTCTATCCCCATCACGCTACTGCGGTAGACTAAGGTGTTTTGGGAGATCATTCTAGCAGGTCATGACGAACCTCTCAATTTCCGACTTCAGCCTACTCGACCTGAGGAAAGCGAAGGTCAGACGCTCTTACAAGCCGAAGTCTTCAATGCATTGGATCGTCCTTGTGTTGCCGCAGGAGTGAAGTGATCTCTGTGGCTTCTACATGCGCCATTTGCAGAACAGATTTCAACTCGGTGACAGAGTTATGATCACCTCATTCAGTGTCAAAAACTAAATCGAATTCATCAGCCGCTTGGGTTGGCCCGTTTCTTCACGGAGATTCTCCAAACAGGCAGAATCCCTCATCTCCTTACATTATCAAAAACTATAGCCATACTGAAAGCGGGCAAGCCAAACGATATGTCACAAAGTTACCGCCCGATCGCTCTACTCAGCATGATCTACAAACTTCTAGGAAGGCTCTTGTACAACAGAGTTAGTCAAAAAATATTGGATGATATTTCTGTTGAACTTGCAGGTTTCCGCCCTACCAGAAACTGCACGGATCAAGTCCTATCACTAACGTCATTCATAGAAGTAGGCTTTCAGAATCAGCTAAAGACAGCAGCCGTCTTTATAGATCTGACTGCTGCGTACGACACTGTATGGAGATCAGGCATCATTTTCAAGCGCATGCGTGTAATACCCTGCAAGAAAACAGTAGACCTGATAGATGCTATGTTCTCCAATAGAAGCTCCCAAGTACTTTTGGGTTATATCATGAGTGCTCAGAAGAAGCTTAACAACGGCTTACCACAGGGATCAATACTTGCCCCCTACTGTTTATATATTGCTGACATGCCCGAAACGAGTTCAAGAAAGTTCGGATACACTGACGACTCGTGACTAGCTGCTAGACACAAAGATATTGAAGTCACCGAGGATATCCTAACGAACAACCTGCTGGCTATCGAGCAATACTTTCGCGAGTAGGGACTTAAAGCAAGTGCTGTCAAGACAGATTTCTCTTGTTACCACCTGAACAACAAATTAGCCGATAGAGAACTGCAAATTCACTTTGAAGGCATGCTACTTAAACACAATAAACAACCTAAATACCTAGGGGTTACATTAGACAAGTGACTTTTAAAGAATATCTGTCGAAAATAGCAGCTAAGATCAAAACGTGTAATAACATCATCCAGAAACTATGCAGCACCACTTGGGAAGCATCAGCCTCCACACTGAGATATTCAGCCCTGGGCTTGGTATATTCAGCCACTGAATACTGCACCCGATGTGGCTTAATAGCGTTTACGTTGGCCTGGTTGATATCCAGCTCAACAACACAATGCGGCTTATTACAGGTACGATCTAACCAACACCTACTTTTTGGCTTCCCATGTTCAGCTACATAGCCTCCCCTCTCCTCTGTAGAAAGCACGTTTTTGTCAGGGAATTCTAGAAGAACTAGGTTTGTTCTAGCAGCGATTTCAAACGATACGGAATCGTACGAAGCATGCGCATACGAATATAGGCGTTCTAGCAAAGCAAATCCAGGATTCGAACTAATAGTCGCATGTTCTAGCGAAGACGAAATCCAGTTTGCAAACCGTATGAGAACTGTCGAAGTAGTCCAGAGGAATTCGTAAGGATTTTCAGTTTGTGACATGCGCAAATATTCGGAGTGATCGAGTGATCCGATATCACGTTTGTTATGATTTTGGAATATGGATTTGTTGGTTATGTTATGTACTAAAGAAATGAGAAACCAAAATAGAAATATTTAGT